GGTCACTCACTTCCCTTGCGCCGCCGGTACAGGAAGCAGGCCAGGGCCACCAGGCCCCCGACGAGCAGGACGCTGGCCCCGATGGTGGCCCCGGCGATGATGCCCACGGGCAGCACCTCTGCGGGGACACGGCGCCATTGGGGACAGTGCCCTCTGTCACCCGGTCACCTCCCTGTCCCCTGTGTCGCCCTGGTCACCTCCCCATCCCGTTCCCTGCCCCATTCTCCATCCGCCATTCCCCGTCCCCAATATCCCCAATGTCCCCAATGTCCCTGCAGTGTCCCCAGGGTGTCACCTCTCTCCTCGAGCTGTATGATCGCCGTCCCCGGCCCGAAGCTGTTCCAGGCCGTGTTTTCCCATTCCCGGTATCCCCAATCCCCTCATTGTCCCCAATGTCCCCGCTGTCCCCAATGTCCCCAAGGTGTCACCTCTCTCCTCCAGCTGTATGATGGCTGTCCCGGGCCCGAAGCTGTTCCAGGCCGTGTTTTCCCATTCCCCATTCCCAATGTCCCCAGTATACCCAGTATCCCTGATGTCCCCCATTGTCCCCAATGTCCCTGCAGTGTCCCCAAGGTGTCACCTCTCTCCTCCAGCTGTATGATCGCCGTCCCCGGTCCGAAGCTGTTCCAGGCCGTGTTTTCCCATTCCCAGCTGTCACTGTCCCCATTCCCAATGTCCCCATTGTCCCCAATGTCCCCAATGTCACCTCTCTCCTCGAGCTGTATAATGGCCGTCCCGGGCCCGAAGCTGTTCCAGGCCGTGTTTTCCCATTCCCATTCCCCATATCCCCTATGTCCCTGAGGTCCCCAATACCCCCAGTATCTCTGATGTCCCCAATGTCCCCGCTGTCCCCATTGTCCCCATTGTCCCCAAGGTGTCACCTCTCTCCTCGAGCTGTATGATGGCCGTCCCCGGGCCGAAGCTGTTCCAGGCCGTGTTTTCCCATTCCCAGCTGTCACTGTCCCCATTCCCAATGTCCCCATTCCCGGTGTCCCCCATTGTCCCCAATGTCCCCAGGGTGTCACCTCTCTCCTCCAGCTGTATAATCGCCGTCCCCGGTCCGAAGCTGTTCCAGGCCGTGTTTTCCCATTCCCCATTCTCTATCCCCAATGTCCCCAATGTCCCCAATGTCCCCAATGTCCCCACAGTGTCCCCAATGTCCCCAGAGCTGTCACCTCTCTCCTCGAGCTGTATGATGGCCGTCCCGGGTCCGAAGCTGTTCCAGGCGGTGCAGTTGTAGCGCGTCTGGAAATCGGCCTCCATGACGTTGTTGATGGTCAGCGTGGACAGGACCCCGCTGGCCGTGGTGCTCCTCTCCACCGTGTAGCGCTCCAGCGTCCCCGCTTCCAGAATGTTCTCCTTCCACGCCCACGCCTGCAAAAGGTTGGGATTCATGGAGATTCTGGGAATTCCCAGAATTTTACGGAATTCGAAGAATTGGTTGGAATTCACAGCATTGTTTGTAATTCACAGAATTGCTTGAAATTCGCAGAATTGTTTGGAATTCGCAGAATTGTTTGGAATTCACAGAATTTTCAGAATTGTTTGTAATTCACAGAATTTTCAGAATTGCTTGTAATTCGCAGAATTTTATGGAATTCACAGAATTGTTTGGGATTCCCGCAATGGTTTGAAATTCACAGAATTGTTTGGAATTCACAGAATTGTTTGAAATTCACAGAGTTGTTTGGAATTCGCAGAATTGTTTGCGATTTGCAGAATTGTTTGGAATTCACAGGATTTTCAGCATTGTTTGGAATTCACAGAATTGTTTGGAATTCACCGATTTGCTGGAATTCCTGTGATTTTCTAAAATTCCCTGAATTTTTGGAATTCCCACAATTGTTTGGGATCCTCGGGTTTTGAAAATCCATCCCAATTCCCAGAATTGTTTGAAATCCCCAGATTTTGGGGATCCATCCCCAAAATTCCAGGAATTCCCCAGGGATGGGGATCCAACCCTCCCCGGGCAGGTTTTTTTCCCTTTTCCAGGAGGAATTTCCCCAAATTCCCCCCCTGAGCCTCCCCTGGCACAGCTCGAGGCCGTTCCCTCTCGTCCC